GGGGGTGAAGACGGCGGGGGCTGGCGGAGGCCCGTGGCCGGGCCAGGCTCGCCTGCAGCCCCCCGGCTTCCTCCAACTCTGGAGCCCCCACTGGCTTCAGCAGGAACCCGCCGCGATAGTCTGCAACGAGAGGGGCTCAGGGATCCCCCAGTGACTCCACAGCCCCACTTTCTGTGACCTCTGCCACCCAGGGATCTCCCTGGGGCCACAGAGCCCCACATCTTGTAACCCTGCCACACAGGGCCCCCCCAGGGCCCCCCAACCCCACTCCCTAGGACTCCACAGCACCCTGGGACCCCTGCCACCCAGGGATCCCTCAGGACCCCACAACCCCACTCCCTGGGACCCCTGCCACACAAGGATCCCCCAGGACCCCACAGCCCCCTGGGACCCCTGCCTCCCAGGGATCCCATGAGACCCCACAGCTCAACTCCCTGGGACTCCTGCCACCCAGGCATCCCTTGGGGACCCCAAAGCCCTGGGACCTCTGCTACCTAGGGACCCTCTCAGCATCAAGGGTCCCAGATCTTCCTCTTCCAGAGACATTCTGACCCCCCAGCTCCCCCAGGCACCCCAGCTCTCTCCATGGACTCCAGGTCCTCCTTCCCAAGACCCCCTGGCACCCAGAACCCACAGTTCCTGCTACTCCAGGACTTCCCAGCACCCAGGGACACCAGATGCCCTCTCCCCTGGGACCTCCTGCACCCAGGCATCCCCACTCCCTTTCTCCATCCCCAAATTGCCCCTGTACCCCCTCCACCCTGCACCACCACCCCCCATCCCAACAGGGCAGCTAGGCAGACCCCATAGGGTGACACTCACCAGGCACTGGTGTGATGAGGTGTCTCTTGGGGGGGACATCGTGGTGGGCAGGGCGGAGGGCAGGTGAACGCACTGCAGTCAGGGAGAGCCATCAGTCACCCCCTCAACTGTATCCACCCCTGCCTGTTACCTGCCTCCAGCCAAGGTCCCTGTGGGGCCAGGCTCTACCTGAGCGGCTCTTCAGGGCATCAAAGGCTTCCAGCTCGAGAGGCATCACCATGCTGTCGAACCGGCCCAGGTCTGTCGGGGCCACCACGCTCCTGCCGGGGCAAAGAGGGGGACAGGTTGTGGCAGCTTCTGAGATGGAGCATGATCAGGGCTGAAGAGCATATGTGAGGTTTGGGCTCCATCTCACCCAGCTGGTGGTATCAGGGTGCCCTGGGGTACCTGCCAGCACCACCCACCTCACATCCCGCAGCAGCAGGACCTTCTCAGGCCGGTCCAGGATGGCCAGAAGTGGCCGCACCAAATCCTCCACGCTGCCCTCATGCAGGTACTGCAGGCGCAAGAGGGGCGTCAGCAGATGGGTGCCCCCCTGTGCTCAAGTTTACCTCCCAGAGCTTAATGTGGGCACGTAGCACTGATCGCAGTGCTCCCCGGCGTGCAGGAGCTGCCCGAGGATGAGCCCAGGGTGCCGGCACTGCCCTGTCTGCACCATGCCTGCACTCTGCCCGCGGCACCGTACCCGGGAGCAGTGGCGGAGCACAGCCGTCACCTCGTCGGGGCTGAGGAGACGTGCAGCAGTGTCCTGGATGTGCGGGAGCCGGGCCTCGGGGTCACTGCCGTTGGGCTGCAGAGTAGTGATGCCCGTGGGGCCAAGGATGCTGGCACGCCGGCTTTTCTCTGTGGGGCACAGCAAAGGAAAGGTGGCCAGCGCAGGGCAGGAACCACCCTGGGCACCCCACAAACCACCCACCCTGCCCCAAAAGCTCGCTCCATGCCAGAGTTGGACACATGCAGTGCAGGACCAGACGCATGCAGAGCCTGCCCCACAGCACCTCCCCGGGCACACAGGCACCCCCGTTACCCCTCTTCAGGCTCCGGATGACAAACTTCTGCACAGCACCTACTGCAAGGGAGATGGAGAAGGGTGAGCGCTTGGGGAGGGGGGGGCAGTGGCATTGCTGCCCATTGCCAAAATTGCGTGCCTGGGGACCACCTCCCTGTGCCCTCCTCCATGCCAGGGATGCCACAACAGAACTGTGGTGCCCATAGAAGGGGGGGGACCAGTCCCAGGTTGGGTCCCTCTCTGCCCTGTCCCCCAGCCCAATACCTCTGTCCCCGTCAGAGCGCCCTGGGGACTTGGCGCGTGCCCGGCGGTCGGAGGTGGGGGGCTCCTGGCTGGAGGGGGCCCAGCTCTGGCTGGTGGCACGGCCCCCCTTGAAGAAGAGGTTGACGAGGGTCTTGGAGCGGTGCAGCCCTGGGGGGGCCCCCTGTGCCCCTTGTCCCTCTGGCTTTTCCTTCTTCCGCTTCTCCTCTGGGACAGAGGGGGGGCGATGTGTGTGTACAGTGGAGAGATCAGGGGATGCCACCCCAAATGATTTTGGGGGGTGTTGAAGGGGCTACTGGGGTGCACTGACTGGAAGAGAGTCCTGCTGTGGTGTGCAGTTGGGTCTCCAGGGTCCGTGGGGCTGGGCTTTAGGGTACCCAGCAAACCCCAGAACAGGGTTGGGGCAACACAGGGCTATAGGATGCCCACAGCTGGCGGCCAGGGGTCCATACGGGCTGGGGGCTATAGAGTGCCAGGGTCGGGGCCAGGGACTTGGCTATAGGATGCCAAAGAGCAGGGGCCAGGTATCTGTGTGGGTCAGGGGCTGAATTGTGGGACTCCCAGGGCTGGGGGTGCAGGGTTGGAGGGGGACACCAGCCAGGGGTGAGTCCCACATGTGGGGCCGTGCCCTGGTGCCTACCGGCAACGGTGAGGTCACTCTGGGAGCGTGTGATGGGCTGCCGGGGCCGGCTCAGCGCCAGCAGCAGCGCCGTCTTGGGTGAGTGGGTGAAGGTCCGGCGTGGGTGGGTGCCGGGGGGCTCACGGGTGCCCTGGCCCCGGATGGCCGTGTCCCGCAGCAGCTCGGGGGGCCGCACTGTGCGCCGTGTCTCTGGCAGCCCCTCGACGGCTGGCTCGGTCTGCATGGCCCGCTCAGCACGCTCCCGCATCCAGCCTCGCCGTGGCCCATCCTCCGTGGAGATGGCCACGTCCACGGTGCGAGCCGGGGGCCCCGGGGTGGCTGTCGCCAGCCCATTCACTGCTCCCGGTGCTGGCCCCGAGGAGTAGGAGGAGATGGAGGAGCTGGTCTCCGAGGCCTGAGACAGCTGCTGCAGCTGCCCGTTGGTCACTGCAAAAGCACAGCAGGGACACAGGGTGACACACTGTGGGACCAGGTGGAGCTCCACATCCCCCCTAAGGACAGGGGACATGCGGGGACTCATAGGGCCATAGGGACTGCAGGGCTGAACACTTGGGGAGCTCTGTGTCCCCTTCAAGGGATGTGTGGGGTCCCACAGGCTTGTGGGGACTAGTGGGCTGTGGCCATTGCATTAGGAATCTTGATGTCCCCTCCAAGGATGGGGACATGTAGAACCTTGCAGGATCACGGGGACAGGGCTGCTGGCCATGGCACAGGGCTCTTCATGTCTCCCCCAGGGATGGGGGACAAGTGGGACACTGCAAGCCCATGACGATGCTAACCGTGGCACAGGGAGCTTCACACCCCCTCCAAGGCCATGACACCCCATGGCATGTGGACCTTCTCCCTCCCCACGGCAGCCAAACGCCGCTTGCATGGGGGTCCAAGCCCCGCTGCACCCCAGCCCCGTGTCCCTGCCTGGACCCGCGCGGCACTGCCCTTACAGCGACTGAGCCAGCAGTACTCGGCCACCAACTCCTTGTAGGCAGGGAACCGGCCCGTCTCCTAGGCACAGGGGGAGAGGATGAGGGGGTCAGCGCACACCGGCCGCCCTGAGCGAACCCGATCCGGTGCCAGCCATGAATAATGCATCCACCCCCCTCCCACCTGCCTGAAACCCAACCAGCCAGCAGCTGCATCAGCCCCACAGGTGCCAGATGGAGCTGGGGCAGCGCCAGCACAGGGACACGCTGACCCCCCACCCCAGCTGGGGGTCCCACAGGGCCGTGTACAGGTACCTTGATGGTTAGCATGATGTGGGTCTGCCCCTTGAGCACCTCCACTGCCTTGCTATGGCTTATGTCTTCAAACTTGACTCCATTGGCTGCAAGGACTTGGTCTCCCACTCGTATGCCATTCTGCTCTGCCAGCCCCCCGGGGTCCACCCTAGAGCAGCAGTGGGGAGCAGGATGGGGCCGAGCACTCGCTAGAGCCCTGCTCCTGCCCCACACCTCTGCCCAGGTGGCCCTGTTCCCCAGCACCCACAGTGGTGATGCCCACAGTCTTATGAGGGTGAGGAGCTCAGGCAGGGAGGGGAGGCTGATCCCCAGCCTGGGCACAGCAGGTATCGGGGTGCCACATCCCCCTCGTGCCTCTTGGGGTGGCCGTACTTGGAGACGTAGATGCCGAGGCCGAACTCCCTGCCGCCGCGGATGTTGAAGCCCAGGCAGTAGTCGTCGGAGGTGGTGTAGAGATGGACGATGCGCCGCAGCCCATCCTCGGAGCCGCTTTCCGACGGCGTCGAGCCGCTTTTCTCCACCACCAGGCGCCTGTTCACCACGTCCACCCTGGAGCATGGGCACAGTGCTGGGGTGAGCTCGAGGGTCCAGCTCTCATCCTCCAACTGAATGGGGCCATTAGTGTCACCCAGAGGAGGAGAGTGATGGGGGTGAGGGATGTTGAGGATGGGGGTTGCACCCACCCTCCCTGGTGGAGCAACCAGACCTGCCTATCCCATCCTGTGTCCCACCCTGGGCTCTCCCCACCTTTGTCAGAGACCTCCAATGCCCCCCTCCCTGTCCGCCAACCTCCCTCAACAAGGCTCCCCACCATGTTCTCCATGGGGTTGGGCTCTGGGGTGGTGGCATGGGAGGTGCCCTGCTCACCACGCCGTCTTCTCCTTGGAGAACTTGATGCCTGGCACACGGCCCATCCGCCGCACCACCATGCGGAGGCGGTTGTTGCCAGTGAGGACCTTGACAGCGCTGCTCATGGTGATGTTCTCCAGGCTCACGCTGTTCACCTCTGTGATCTTGTCACCAACACACAGCCCGGCCTGCTCTGCAAGGGGCACACGGCTCAGCTGGGCACCTGACCTAGCACCGATGACCTTGCTTGGCATCCTCTCCCTAAATGTGTCCCCAGCCTGATCCAAACCCCATGGGAAGAGAGATGGGGATGCCTGGCAATCATACCAAGGCTGTGGCAGGCATGGGGGGCTTGTCACCTTGCTGTGGCTTGGAGATGGAGCTCAGAGCCATCAACATGGGGCTGCCCACTCCTGTTCCCTGCCCTTCTCTGTGAGAAGCCTGCAAACCCCACGGCCAGAGGTGGCAGGGAGCAATGGCAGCTTGCCCACCATGAAGGGTGGCATCATTGCTGCAGCACCATGTCACCAGGAGCTCCCCGAGAGGGTCTTGCTGGCACATGCCTGTTCCCACCAGTGTCTCTCGCCCTGTTCCACTTACCAGCAGCACTGCCCTCCTCCACTTTGCTGACAAAGATGCCCAGCCCATGCTCGGAGCCGCCACGGACGCTGAAGCCCAGCTTGCCATCCACACTCTTCTCCACCGTGATGGCGTTGATGATGTCGCTCTCGTTGCTGCTGGCTGTGGGGACAGGGGACAGGACATGTCACCCAGGCTGGGTGTGAGCAACCCCTGGGGGTGTCTCTCTTGCTGGAGGGGGGATGTCCCCAGTCCCAGGACAACTCTCCCGTCCCCAGACCCAGAGAACCCAGGGGTCCGGGCCTCCTGGCCATGCAGGTGGGCAGAGGGTTTGGGGGGACACCCCATGCACCT